ATGGTCTCAAGTTGCAGTGGGGGAGGTCTAGGTTGGATATTAGGAAACACTATTTCACTAGGAGGGTGGTGAAGCACTGGAATGCGTTACCTAGGGAAGTGGTGGAGTCTCCTTCCTTGGAGGTTTTTAAGGCCCGGCTTGACAAAGCCCTGTCTGGGATGATTTAGTTGGGAATTGGTCCTGCTTTGAGCAGGGGGTTGGACTAGATGACCTCCTGAGGTCCCTTCCAACCCTGATATCCTATGATTCTATGATTAGTATGTAATGCAATTTTTAGGTTGTATTTACTACTCTGAATTTAATCCTAATACAATAAATCTAAATATTTTTCTTCATAAAATTCTTGTTTACATATTACCAAAAATGTGTGTGTTTAATTTATTTTAACATGAATAATGAGCAAAGCTAAGAAATATGGAGAACTTACACAGGAAGTTGCTATACATGTTCCCCAATCATTATATGTTTCCACGGTAATATTGGATAAAGCTGTTCGAAGTAGTGGGCACAAAAGCTTCCAAAGTTTCTCTACCTACTCAACAGAAAAGCAAAGGTGAGATTATGGATTTTGCCATGTATGGTTCCTACTTAACTTCTATAACTCCCAACCCCTCAAAGAGAAATTTGCTTCTTACAGTAGCTCAACATTATTAGAATCCTGAAAAAAATTACCAGGAAAGGCAACAATTCAAACTGCCAACATCTCTTTCTACTTTATTTACAGGGTGCTCTGAACTACTGCTCAGCCAAGTTCACACATATGTGGCCTCTTGGGTTATTTCAGTTTAAGTACAATACTACTACAGGATTGCACACTTTGTTGTTTCTGCAGGCTGAGTGCTTTGCGCACACCGGGAACTCCTTGCATTCATCGAGTCTCTCCCCACGTTCCTTGTGTGCCACTCTCCCATCCCCTTCTATTTCTGCAATCACCCACCCCATCCTCCATGCCGGGTCTCTGTGTGCCCCCCATTCTCACCCCATGTCCTCCCATGCCAAAGGTTCTGTGTGTTCCCCAATCCCTCGTTCCCTCCTGTGCCAGGGGCTCTGTGTTATCCCCATTCACTCCATTCTCTGCACCATTCTTATTCTTTTCTCTCCCTTCCATCTTTTCTCTTTCAGGATGTCTACATTTTAAAACTGTATTGGGAAGATGGGCAGAGCTGAGATGGGGTTTTTGTTACACTGAAAGGTGTTATTGGCTGCCATCAACCAGTTCTTTGATCTATAGACAATTATTTACTCCTGGGAGAATTCTGCACCACTACGCAACGTAGAATTTTGCAGAAATTAATGTTGTGCACACAGATTCACCCCCCCACCCCCAAATGGGCTGCAGAGATGTTGGCCGCCACTAGGGGCTGCTGGACCTGGCACAGCCCAACTTGCAAACAGAAGACAAGGCCGGGGGAGCGGGAGGGGCCAGAAAGAGAGCCAGAGGATTCCCAGCAGCTGCAGTACTTAGCATGCCCTGAAGGAAGGAGGCGGTGGCATGCAGGAAACTCCGTATTAACCCAGGACCCAGCATCAGGCTGTCTCTCTCTCTGGATCCCTGGGCTCTGGGGAGTAGGGGGTACATGAGAATGTCTGGGCTGGAGGGGGCCCACAGCTGGGCTCTGGGGTAGGGGATGTGAGTGCCTGGGCTGGGGGAGAGGTAGGGGGGGAGGCTGCAGCTGGTCTCTGGAGGGCAGAGGGTGAGTATCTGGGCTGGGGGGGGTGTGGCTTCGCTTTTGGAGGGGAGGTGTGAGTTTATGGGCTGGGGGCCCCCGCAGCTGGCCTCTGGGGGGGTAGGGGATGTGAGTGTCTGGGCCAGGGAGGGCCCCATGGCTGGGCTCTGGGGGAGGGGGGATGAGTATCTGGCCCCCTGGTTGGGCTCTGTGGGGGAGGGGGCAGAGAAACAGGAACTGGGTTGTCGTAGGGGTTTCTTTAACTCTATTTCTAGGGGAACTTTTGTGTGTGTCTGTATTGTTACAAACATACTTGCTGACAGGTATTTTGAAATAAATTACTAAAATAATTGAAGCTGGGGTGATTATACAGCTTTATTTTGACAAATTAAATTTGCAGAATTTTAAAACCTTGTGTGCAGAATTTTCAATTTTTTGGTGCAGAATTCCCCCAGGAGTAACAATTACACAGGTGGTTAAAACTGCTGGGTCTACTAACCAGATGACAGAGGCTCTGTGTGTTCCCCCATTTCCACCTTCTGGTTTTCCAATTTTCACCAAAATCAATACAGTTCTGCCCATTGATGCCCAGACTATTCCCTGAGTGAGGTAATATCTTTTATTGGACCAACTTGTGTGGGTGAGTGAGACAAGCTTTCAAGCTAAACAAAGCTCTTTTTCAGGCCCAGACCTCAAAAGCTTGTCGCTCTCATCAACAGAAGTTGGTCCAATAAAAGATATTACCTCACCCACCTTATCTCTCTGATATCCTGGGACAAACATGCTACAACTACACAACATAGAATATTCCCTGAAATTTTAAAATTGATTGAATGTGGCACTCAAAAGTTGTCTAAAACCAGTGATACTCAGACCTCAGTGGTTCAGGAGCCAAATTAGCAATCAACATTACCCAAAAGAGTCACAGTAGTGTGAATACACTGTTTCATTTACTATAGTACCATATATTAATATTTAAGCAGTATGCCAGGGGAATTATTTAGTTTTTATATATAAATATTATTCTCACAGCAAAATGACTGACGAACTATTATTATTTCATCAACTACAAGTGGTTAATAACATAGCAATAGCATTCCAATTAGTTAACAACTTAGATTGGTTAATAATTAAATCACACAGTGTTTTAATATCACGTGCTGCAAAGAACCGCAGGAGATCCATTAAAGAGCCACTTATGGCTCAGGTGCCTCAGCCTAAGTATCACTGCTCTAAACAGAGATATGCCACCAAATTAAGTGTAAAGCCTCACAAGCTCAGCCAAACCTCCAAATTCAGATCCGCAAAGTGTTTTGGGAAGCAGTTTGTATGAGGTGCCATAGAAGGGAACTAAACAGCAGCAGCAATACATTGCATTTCCACATATATTCTGTTCAAAGATCTCAAAGTGCTCACCAAACTTTAGTGAATTAAGCCTCACAATATTTTTGATGTAGGGTAGGGAAGTGTTATTTCCATGAGGAAATTGAGGAAGTCAAATCACTTGCCCAAGGTCATACAGCTAATCCCTGGAAATCATCAGTGCAAGAGGCAGCAATAGAACCCAGATCTCCTGACTTATAATTGTGAGATATAATTCCTAATGTTTCCAGCTGCCATATATAAACTGTAGCAAGTAGTCCCAAGAATGTGATTTGCCATGAGATCAGCCTTCAAGGCAAATCTTCTTCCATTATCTTGTGGATGAAATTATCTTACATTTATTTGGTGCCTTTCATCCCAAAGCACTCTGAAATGTAGTCATCTATGTAAGGAGCAAAATCTAGAATGTATATTTTGTTGAGTACAACATTTCTGAATTAAGAGACTTGAATTATCTTTTCAACAATCTCTTAATTTCTTAAATACTTCAAGACTGTTAACGACTCATTTTCTCTATTACTAGATGGTTTTGAGGTCTGGGTGTATGTCAAGAGGTTTTACTTGTTTAGTACACTTTCTAGAGATTGATCAGTTGATTCAAGATATAACGACTCAATATTCTACATATTGTTTTGGAGCACAAAGGAAAATCCCAACAAATGACAGGGCACTTTTGTAGTCTCCCGTCTCAGATACTTTATTCCAGTGTTTGCAACACAGTACTCTTAATTTTTTTTTAATGCAGTAATAAGCAATGTATGGCTAATTATGTTAAAATTCATTTATGGCCTTGTCTACATTACAAAATTTCGTTGGCAAAAGTTATGCCGCTTTAATTAAAACCGCTGTTGCATGTCCACACTAGCCCCTGGTGTCAGCAGAGTGCATCCACACTAGCTGCTCTTGCTTTGACACAGAGGGCAGTGCACTGTGGTAGCTATCCCACTACGCAACTGGCCACAGGGTGCTTTGGGAAGAGTTGCATTGCCTCATGGGGCAGTTTCAGCATCACAGGGTGCAGGTTTCTCAATCCCATCGTTCCCTTCCAGGGGCATCCTGGTAGACTGTCAGTTGCTTTTTCAACTGAAGTACGTAGGTGAGGGAAAGGAGAGTGGTGTGCCTGGGGCAAGGGAGACAGCAGGCTGACCAACCTATCCTGAGGGAGGGGGACACCCCACCACGTCAGCCCCCGGCTCTGCTCAACAGTCTTTCCCAAAGCAGCCCACTCTGCCTGCCTGCCTATGGTTCTGTGATTCCCTCAGTTCTCTCACAGCCTCCTCAGATGTCCTGGGGAACATCAAAGGAGCACAGCAGTCCTCTCCTCCCCCAGCCCATCCCCACCTTGCTCCCTGCAGCAGCAGTCGGCCTGCCGCTGTGTTCCTAGTGCAGGGCAGAACAGGAGCTTTCCAATGATTTGCTCTTTGTTCCCCAAGTGGAGCAGCACGCTCAGCTGTTAAATATTTCCTGGAGCTTTGAAAGGGGAGAGGCGCATGCCTGCAGCACAGCAGAGATCAAAACAGTGAGCAGAGTAGTCACGGCAGGCATTGTGGGATACTGGGGAAAGCCAGTTCTGTCAACAAAACTAACAGCAATGTCTACACTGACACTTTATCTTATCGCTTTAACTTTGCTGCAAAAGGTTTTATATTGAGGTGATTTTGTTTTGCCGCCAAAAGTAGCATTGTAGTGTGTACGCCTCCCCTGTTTTGTAGGCAAAAGGCAGCTTTTGCCGACAAAACTTTGTAGTGTAGACAAGGCCTAACTCTCGATGTGAGACAAAAGTTTAAAGTTAACTTGCAGAAGTGCAGATTCAAATTCTAGGAAACCTAAAAATACATTCAGCACTACAGCAAGATGAATTTTTTGGAAAAATAGCCTATTCACACAAAAATGAAATGTCAGATGACCTATGACTGTGAATTTGACTGATCAATTTCAGCTGGGAAAAAGTTTTTCAGCAAAGAGAGAGTCTGTCCTTTGACACCTTTAGCCCAGTGGTTAGGGACAGGGCCGACCTTAGCGAGGGTGACTGCTCAGGGTGCCTTGGTAGGGTGGCTGTCAAGAGAGTGTCACAATAACAGCCCCCTGCCACTCTGATCCTCACAGCCGCAGCCCACGGTCCACCTCCAGCCTCGCTCTGCCCCCAACCCCTGCACCTCCAATCTGGCCGCCTCCAGCCCAGCTCCTCCCCCAGCTTTGGTCTGCCGCCATCCCCCGCTCCACCTGCACCCCTGCTTTGCCCTCATCCCTTGCTCTGCCTGCACTTCCACTCCACGTCCTCACCCACTCCCAGCTCTGCCTCCAGCACTGGTCCACCCCTATCCCCCGCTCCACTCCCAGCTTTGCCTCCAGCCGGGTCCGGTCCACCTGCACTTCCACTCCACCCCCAGCCGAGCTCCACTCCCCCGCCTCACTAAGGGTGTGATTTAGGTAATGCAGGCCCTGATCAGGGCACTTGGCTGGGATGTGGAAGACCCAGGTCTGAACCCCTAATTCTGGAGCAGGGACTGGAACAAAGATCTGACCCCTCAATGCCCCCACCTTACCTGAGCATCCTAACCACCAGGCTATGGGACTGTTGTTCTTAATCTCTCCCATTGAAGTTGTTCCACTTTGTAGAAACACTTAAATATTCACTGGGAAGAGAGAGAGAGCAACTCTATAGCCTGATGATTAAGGCAGTCACCTAGGAGGTAGGAGTTGTGGATTTAATTCCCTCCTCTGAATCAGGCACAAAAGATTTGAATCCACATCTACAAAGTGTAACAGCTTCAACAATAGAGAATAAAAGCAACACACCTATAGCTTGGTTGTTAGGATGCTCATCTGAGACATTTGTGGAATCTGAGTTCAAATCCCTGCTCCAGAGTGGATTCAAACCTGGATCTCCCACATCCCAGGCAGTGCCCAAACCACTGGGCTATAGGTTATAAAGGAACACCCTCTGACCCATGAAGTTTGCAGGCCCAAAATGGACTTTTCCAAATTCTGAATTATTTTCAGAACCACACTGAATATTTTCCCCCAACTTTTCCACTTTCTGGCTGAACTGACAAAATCACCCAGCTCTATTCAGCACATTATTTTTCTTTGACATTTTAAAATGTCGTTTACTCTAAAAAGTGAAGCTGGTACCTTCTAATTCATGTTTGCTCTGTGTATCCAGAGTTATTTCTGTTTATTTTAACAACAAATAAATCAGTGCTTATTTTAGTATTACTGAACCAACACAGCTAAGATTCAGCGACCTGGATTTTATTCTACCTTGCACATCAATGGCAATCTCTAAAGCTATGTATGAATGTATATATTTATGGAAAAGTTCAAGGCTATGGTTTTGTGCAAGTGTCAATGAGTATAATCAGCAAACTATGTAGTTGCATAGGTGTAAATGAAGTACTTAATCTGGCCTGCAGAATCTTCATTACTGCTGATGATTCATTATATGGAAAGAACATGTTGACTTTTAGATCTCAGACTGAGTTTACAGGGCTGGAAGTTACAAAAAAAAAATATTTTTTCTTGCATACTGAGCACATTTAATTATGGAAATCACTGAGACCCAATAAACTTGGGATTCCACAATACTATGTGAAGAGAGTCACTTTTCAGAGTAGAAATGCATTTTTAAGGTAGGATGTGAAAGTTAGTTCTTAAGTAATATGCTGAAAGACCTTCAACCTGGTCATTCAGTTGATGAGCACATGCTGATTAAACAACTGGAACCGATTCCTTTACTTTTGCAGATCACTTAAAAATGTTACGTACACACCTTTTCAAATGTCCAGTGTTTAGAGCCTCTTATCAGACCAGCTATAATCTCAGCTACACATCGTTGGGTACTTTCATGAGAGTCTGCTACCAGATGTTCCAAGTGGGGCTTTAGAACTGGCAAGAAGGCATCATCAAAGTTTCTGAATATGCCCTGTTAAACAAGATTACACTTAAAAATGTTTCACTTAAAATATTTTTAACCTTTAACATTGCATGCAATTTGTATTAATATTCCCAGGCTAATAAGAGCACCAGCTTGTATTGCTACTGTCACTGAAAAACTAGTAATGTTAATTCTGTATGGAATATTCCTTTTCCTATTTATTGTCCCAAACACCTCAGAATTTGGACCCACCTACTGCTGTAGCAGATACAATATACAAATATGGATAGTACACATACATGATGCATCATTTTGAGTTGCACAAGTTTTTAATTATTTAACCAAATGTATATATATTAACATAGTGTTATTAGTCATAGAATCATAGACTATCAGGGTTGGAAGGGACCTCAGGAGGTCATCTAGTCCAACCCTCTGCTCAAAGCAGGACCAATCCCCAACTAAATCATCCCAGCCAGGGCTTTGTCAAGCCTGACCTTAAAAACCTCTAAGGAAGGAGATTCCACCATATCCCTAGGTAACCCATTCCAGTGCTTCACCACCCCCCTAGTGAAAAAGTTTTTCCTAATATCCAATCTAAACCTCCCCCACTGCAACTTGAGACCATTACTCCTGGTTCTGTCATCTGTTATCACTGAGAACAGTCTAGATCCATCCTCTTTGGAACCCCCTTCAGGTAGTTGAAAGCAGCTATCAAATCCCCCCTTATTCTTCTCTTCTGCAGACTAAACAATCCCAGTTCCCTCAGCCTCTCCTCATAAGTCATGTGCTCCAGCCTCCTAATCATTTTTGTTACCCTCCGCTGGACTCTTTCCAATTTCCCCCTTTTTATAGTGTGGGGCCCAAAATTGGACGCAGTACTCCAGATGAGACCTCACCAATGCCGAATAGAGGGGAATGATCACGTCTCTCGATCTGCTGACAATGCCCCTACTTATACAGCCCAAAACGCAGTTAGCCTTCTTGGCAACAAGGGCACACTGTTGACTCGTATCCAGCTTCTCGTCCACTGTGACCCCAAGGTCCTTTTCTGCAGAACTGCTACCCAGCCATTCGGTCCTTAGTCTGTAGCAGTATATGGGATTCTTCCGTCCTAAGCGCAGGACTCTGCACTTGTCCTTGTTGAACCTCATCAGATTTCTTTTGGCCCATTCCTCTAATTTGTCTAGGTTCCTCTGTATCCTATCCCTACCCTCCAGCGTATCTACCACTCCTCCCAGTTTAGTGTCATCTGCAAACTTGCTGAGGGTGCAATCCAAGCGATCCTCCAGATCATTAATGAAGATATTGAACAAAACCAGCCCCAGGACCAACCCTTGGGGCACTCCGCTTGATACCGGCTGCCAACTAGACATGGAGCCATTGATCTTAACAATATTTTTTCCATAAGAGACATAGAAGATTGAGAAACAAATTTAAAGTTTAAGTATATAGTTAGGTAATGTTTCTCATATGTTCAAAATAGAATTATCCCCAAGTATATACCCTCTCTCTATCACCACTATTAGGGAAAAATATATTTGGAGAATTCAGAAGACAGTATACTGAGGTTGGTCATAGTGGTGTTTAGGGCATACCTTCTCTCAACATTTAATAACAGTGATTACCTGGGTCATTGAATGCAATGCTTTTCACACTGATTTGATAATTATCTATAAAAGGGAAGTAACTTATCCATAAAAATCTAGTTACCTTGAAGAGGCAAAATCTGCGAGGATTAAATTTGTCTTTTCCTTTTCTGTCTTCTAGAGATAGAAACTTTATTAACTGCTCAACAAATTTTGGATCGGAAAAGTGATCATATATGATTTGTTCTGCCTGTAAAAGAAAACAGTGATAAGCCTTAGTTTAAATTCAAGGTGCTTAACTACCACAATGATAAGAGTCTCATTTGGGAGGAAAAAATCTTTCCAAGTCCTTATTCTTATTTTTTTTTTTATACTTTTGCCAAATCAGGAGTCCAAAATATGCATGCAGTCTCCATTTCCCCCAAACAAGCATTAGGTCAACATCTTAGTGCCAAGAGGCTTTTACTCCTATAGTGATGTTGGGCCATCTTTCCTTCCACTAACATAATGCCTTCAAAGCAGCCATTTCCAATGGCACTGACTATGGAGCACCAGCTCTGTACTCATGACCACTCTCCTGATCACTTCAAAATCTTTATCATCATTTCATGAATCACTTATTAGAGAAACTATGAGGCACTGACACGGTCACATTTTTAAGCAAAATGTATCCCAACTAATCTGAAAATTGGGTCCCTTGTATAGCAATTTTCCATAGTATTTTTTAAAATTTATTTTGGTTTCACACATTCAGTCATTTCTCATTTTTATTCTTTCCCCTCAAAGAAGCTCCAATTCAGTAAGGCACTTGAGAATACCCTTACCTTTAAGCATGTGAGTCCAAATTAAGTCAGTGGGATTACTCACATGTTTAAAATTGTGTCCACATATTGCATACACCTGGAAGTCAAATTCTATATTCCTATTTTATATGCCTCTACAAATCCAGGCTATGCCTGACTGGAAAGGATTAAACCGTCTCAGAAATATTTTTTTTCATAATGCATATACTGCTGTGAACCCACCTACATAATTCTAGGTGCCCCTACTGTTTTTTTAAAAATAGGCACCAACACCATCTATGGTAGAATATTACAAATCTAAATAAAACGACAATGTCATCAGTAATTCAATCAAGTCTCTGCATTCCAAGGGAACTCCACCAGTCCACACCAGCAAGTACATCAAACACCACAATGTGGCAGAGGCATCAAAGGCAACTGATTGACTTTTAGATTATCTGATCTTTGCTCGATATCAGGAGGAGATCGACCACCAAAACTAGCAGACTGGAAGGATCAAGATGATGGTACTGCAAGGCAGCTCTAGGACTCACTAACCTTTCTCAAAAGGGGAAGATTAGAGATGGCGCAACAACTGCAAAAATATATATTTGGTTACATGAATTAAAAACAAATTGTAAGGCTTATTTAGCATGATAATGATAGACTAAGAAACTTTAGTTTCAGATAAAAGTAATGATTGTGAAAGGGCTGGACTGATAGCGTCTGAGGCAGAAATCCTATTTATCTACAGAACAGGAATAGCAGGCCTTCCCACACCATGTTGCCATTATGCATCAATCCTGTTCTGGAAGAGCCACCTTTAGGGTAGAAAGTTCAGTGTCCATACTCACCTCCTTGCTGACACTATCAACTAGAATCAGTAAAATTGGTAATTAGTAGGGCGGTCAAACGATTAAAAATATTAATCACAATTAATTGCGAGATTAAAATAAATCGTGATTAATTGCAGTTTTAATTTCACTATTAAACAATAACAGAATATCACTTAAATATGGGGGGAAAGCGTGTGTGTGTGTGTGTGTGTTGGGTGAACATGTGTGTGAGAGAGAGAGAGAGAGAGAGTGTATGCGTGTGTTGGGGGAATGTGTATGTGGGTGAAAGAAACTGTGTGTGAGAGAAACAGTTTGTGTGCGTGTTGAGGGATTCTGTGAGAGACAGAATTTGTGTGTGTTGGGGGAAGTGAGTGTGTTCAGCACAATGTCTTTTTAAGCAGAGCACTCCCCAGCCTGAACGCTTATTCAGACAGCAGCAGCTGCCAGCAGCTCCCACTCCTGACCCAGAGGCTCCCTGTCACCCCACCCCAGCTTAGCAGAGACCGGGTACATGGGCAGGAAGATGGGGACACCCCAACATCACCCTTCCCCACTCTGCACAGCAGACTCCCAGTGCCAAGCATCTTGGGGGTGGGGAGTAGGAGCAGCGGTGGCTGCAGAGCAGAGCAGTGGGGGGAGGAGGGGCACCCCTGCTCCAGAGGCGCCCCTGGTGCCCTGGGCAGTGGCCCAGCCTGCCCACCCCTAAGGCCAGCAGCAGCAGCCAGGCTCCCCGTGTTCCCCGGCCCCAGATCAGCAGCAAACGGGTACACAGGGACACCCAGACATCAGCCCACTCCCCACTCCTCTGCTCTGTGCAGCAGGCAGGTTCCCGGTCTGGAGCAGCTTGGCCAGTGGCAGCTCCATGGGGGAGGGAAGGAGGAGGTGGGAGCAGCAGTGGAGCAGGGCGGCAGGAGAAGAGGGCAGGCAGCAGCGCCCCCCCGAGCATGGCGCCCTGGTGTGTGATTAACACATTAATTTGTTTTGAGTTAATTGCATGCATTAACCATGATTGACAGCCCTAGTAATTAGCCATTCAATGTGGCCATCAACTTATTTCAAACCTTATCTTGATGACTGTTCAGTGCTCTGATGACTTAAATCACAAATAATCTGTGCTAGTCTTGAAACAGAACAACCCAGACTTTCAAAAGAGCTTAAAAAAAATCCTAGCATGCTTACCTCTAACAACTCCTCTCTCCTCCTCCCAAGCTTTGGTTGTTGCTCAGCAGAAGCATAAACTACCATATTTCTAAATATTAGAGGAAATATATATTAGCATACTTCCCAAATAAATGAAAGAACAAAAAACAATTACGTTAATTCTCTACATTTTATATACTGATATCAAATTAAATGTGTTGACTAGAACACCAAAATCTAAAGCAAATTTCTTCTTTCTTGCCACCACTATTTGGGGTTGGTGACACTTATAGCCTTCTTCCAAAACACATGATTGTACACCAAGCTGTTGTGCAGACTGATCTCTTTGACATCCGCTGATATCCAGCGTCTTTGGTCTCCCCTTTGGGCATCTTTCATCCACAATCACTGCAAGAGCCATCCTACTGATATAACACTCTGGTCTCTGTTGGGTATGCCTATACCAATGTATAATAGCCTTCCTAAACTTGTCTTCAGTTGGAGCAACCCACATTAGGCCCTCTTACAACCTCATTCTGTTCCCTATCATCAAGTGTCCAACCACTGGACCATCCTGACATCTTCATTTCCATGGTGGAGAGCATATTGATTTCTTTTTTTGTGACTGGATAAGTCTCTCTTCTGTACATTAAGACAGGTCAAATACAGTTTTATACACTTTAACGGCATCTTTTTGTCACAGAGAACTGGAGTTAGCTTCCACCATTTGCACATTACAGCTTTAGTGTAATGCTGGGCATCACTTGAGGGCACTATTGCCAACAACAAGTAATCCTAGGTATTTAAATTGTTTCACTCTTCTAATCTCTCTGCCTGCGATATCCTCTATGGTGAGTCTTTCTCCCTCATTCATGATACCCTCAGTCTTACCGACATTGGCACTAAGCCCTGCCTGCTCAAAACTATGCTGTCACTGTTCAAAACTGGCTTGCCAGGTCTCACAATCTTCCGCACATATTACCAAGTCATCAGCAAACATCATGTTCCAAGGTGGTTCCCTTTGTATATTCTCATCACATCCGTAACAACTGCAAATAAAAAGGGGCTCAATGCTGACGCTCAGTGTAGGCCAATGTTTACTGGAAATTCTCTACGGTAGCCCCATTTAGTTTTGACTAGAGTAATCATTCCATCATACATATCCTGGTGTTGATGGACATATCTTTCTGGCACACCTCTGTCATAAACTTTACTCTAATCAGATGAATGTATGCCTGCTTCAAGTCCACAAAGATCATACCCAGTTGCTGTCTCTTTTCTCTGAACTTCTCCATGAGCATTCATAGAGCAAATATGTCACTAATTGTGTCCTTCTCAGCATGAATCCATACTGACCCTTTCACATTTCAACCATTCCATGTACACGCTTTTCAGTAATCTTCTCCTATACTTTCATAGCATGTGACATAAGCTTAATTTGATGACAATCATAAACACCTCTCAAACCTAGTGTTAAAAAAGGGCATTATTGGGGCAAATTTAGACCCCCAATATTTTTGTAATGATTGACTGTAAAACAAGCTTTTACAAAATCCAAGACTAAGAGATGCAATTCCAACAGAAATAGTTAAACAAAAATATTCCCCACAATGTTTGCAGCACACAAAAGCTCATATCACAATTGGCTGGAAACTGATTTGCAATAAACATGGAAATGGAGACTATTTTCATTGTCCACGCCAGGAGAAGTGCAAAAAAAATTTCAGTTTTAATTATAGTTAAGAAAATTCAAAATATTATTTTTGATCTAATAGTGTCCCTTTAACTTCAACAGTATTAGTCAAACTTTCTGTTTTTCTTATACAATTTTGCCCACAATACACATAATTTAATAGTACTCACTGAGGCCAGGTATAGTATCCCCAGTGTGTTTTCTCCACAAAACAACATGACGCCCAAGCTTGTTTAGTCTTTGGTAAACTTTCACTATCGAAATGCAGCCACTGGTTATCAGGTCTGTCACCAGCCTGAATGCTGGAAGACTTGGGGACTCCACCTATTTTTAAAGATGAATTAATGTTATATCAGATTTGCTCACAAGCCCATACTTGTTAACATACCCACACGTTTATAATTTACTGTCAGCTTTTTCATGAGAGAGCCATTTCAAGAGTTTGTGTGTCACTTGTAAACATTCCTCCAGATGAAATTTGCCACAGAAGTTTAACAACAATACCTTTGTACAAACAGGACCTGCTAAACTAGAGTTTTTAGTTCTGTTCTAACTAGAGCTAACTGATTGGAAATTAAGTGGAATTAGCTAACACAATTGTAAATGCAAATATAGACACTTCATGGCTAGGAACAAGTGTTGTCCTGGATAGGGTTGCTACCTCTGAGATACAAAAACAACAGGACATCCGGTATGATCCTGAGCCCATAAAACTGAACAGCTAGTAGTGTGTACTGAGTACCCTTGCAGACTGTCTGGAACTTCTACATAAAAAAAAAAAAAAAATGATCGATTATCCTTAGTCATGGAGCACATACTTGTGCTTACAATCATATCAGTTAACTAGAGTTACAACACAACCAAGAAGTCTAGTCTAGACAGGACCAATATCTGTAAAGCTTGTTTGGGTGTTTAGTTCAAAAAAGACAAACATATTTTCTTTCAAATACTTCTTTGATTGCTGCTCATCCTCCAGCCGTTCTGCTTACATTTATCTTCCAGCTTCCAGTTCATTTTCCATATCTTGTTTTTGGGAAGGTTTTGGTCACAGGTGGTGCAATACAGAAAGGGATAAGCATGTAGTTTGAAGTAGGGAGTCAACTTGTTAGCACATCAATTTTTTAAACCAAGAAAATTTGTTACAAAGATACTATTAAATCACAAGATTTACAACTTTAACTAAATGAAGAAGAGATTTGATTTTTCCTTCATGTGTGGTGTACTATGAAGCACCATTGAGAGGAGCCAAAACGGCACACTGAAATCCTGTAGTGAAAATGACTTAAACAACACTCGAGCCTATGAGGTCTTGTTTAAGGGACAGGTGAAGTTTTCTGCCTGTTCCTATTTGTAATGCATGCATGCACAAAAAGGGAAAGAACTTCCTGAACTCAGGTTTAAAATGTTTACCTTTACAATAACTGAATGTTGGGTTCATAGGACCCATGGAACCAAGAAAAGTCATCTGTCACACTGACAAATACAGAAATAATATAAAAAGAATGTTATTTAATATTTGTTTATACATAGTGTTCATCATAATCTGGATGATAAAAGGAGTAAGGAATGAACAGAAAGCAGAGGCACCTAATGGTATATGCAAGTGTGATCTTGTTCTCATTCAAGTTAATTGCAAGGCTCCCACTGTCTTCAAAGGGAGAAGGATCAGGCCCTGTGTCTATATATAAAATGTGTACGCATACACAATCCTCCCTACAACCAGCTGAATAAACTACAAGTACACATCTACTTGTTAGATGTGAATACATTTTGTTTTAAAGATAAGTGAAAAATGTTTTAGTTAGGTTACCCATTTTGTTTATACCACAATAACAGAGAACATGTGTTTTCTATTGGTAAGGTAGGTGGGAAAATATATTTCCTGAAAGCTTCAGGATAAATTTAGGATCTGAAATCTCTTATTAAACACTTACTGACTTCATAAGGGCAGATGGACACCTTTTTGTGGGTTCTCTTCAACTGCTTGAGGATGCCAGCAACAGCTGAGATAGCCATCTAAAAAGGAGAATGAGGATTAATTCATCCATTTCACATTTTCAGTGCAAGGATTTGTCTAGTCATTCACATCATAGTCACTCATTCTCCCAAGTAAATGGTGAATGGCACTCCCTTTAAAGTCAGTCAACATCATCATGTGGCACTTAGTCACACCAGCAGATGAGATTACTTCCTCCACAGCCATCTCAGCCCCCTCATTACAGAGAACACAAGACCTAAATTCCCTCTAAGCTGCACAGCCGCACACCAGCCCATTAAGCGCCGCGCAGGCGCTCAGGGCTGCAGCGGGGAGAGATGCCTCTCCCACAGCTCCTGGACCTGCCACGGTGGAGAGAGGCGCCCCTTCCCCAGCCCCAACCCTGGAGCTGCCATGGCGGCGAGAGGCGGGGAGAAGACACTCTCCCCCAGCCCCGGAGCTGCCGGGGCCGGGGGAGATGCGCCTATCCCGCAGCCCCAGCCCTGGAGCTGCTGCAGAGGGGAGAGGCGCCTCTCCCCCCCAGCCCAGGTGCTACTCCGGGGAGAGAGAGCTGCAGGGAGTCCTCTCTCCCTACCATAGCCCTGGGGCAGCCTGCACCCCAGAGCCCACACCCCCAGCCGGAGCCCTCACTCCCCCTGCCCCACACCCCAACCCTTTGCCCCTGCCCAGAGACTCCTCCTGCATCTCAAACCCCTCATCCCCAGCTGGAGCCCTCACTTCCCCACACCCCAACCCTCTGCCCCAGCCCTGAGCCCCTCATCCCCGGCCCCACCCCAGAGCTCTCACCCCCCAACTCTCTGCCCCAGCCCTCGGCCCCCTCCCACACTCCGAACCCCTGGGCCCCATCCCCGCCACATGAATTTTGTTATGTGGACCAATATGGAGGTGATGTGTCACACATCACCTCCATACTGGTCCACATAACAAAATTCATTCTGCACATGCGTGGGAAAAAATTAGAGGGAACACTGCATGAGACACAGAATTAAACCTCTTTTGCATGGCATGCCACAGCACGGAGCCTGCCATCTAGTTTCCTCTTCCCTCCAACCCCCCACAATGCTGAAAGTGTTTCCAAGTCTCACTGACAAGCAGGATAAACAAAATTAATAGTGCAAATTTTTGCTCATCTAAAAGCCCTCAGATCAATTGCCATTGTCATAGGACTCCCAAGATCATATGCAATTTGGGGGATGGACATTTGTGTGTGTAAACAGGGCCCTGCTCCCTAACTGGAGCCTCTAAATAACAAACAACAACAACAAATATTTGATCAGGGATTGGAAAAGCAAGAGAAATTGTAATCAATTTGCCATCTTTACCTTGCGAACCACTATTGCATCGTGGTTGAGACACTGCACAAAGAATCTTATGGCATGGACAGGCAGTACCCTATCATCCCTCAGGAGGAGAGACAGAAAGCCAATGCCTATGTGTTCAAACTTCCAGGGGCTAAAAAACAACATATACAATGAATAGTGGAGTGCTGCATGTAACACTGTTGTCCAAAAAAGGTTATAAAAATATACCTAAAATCAAAAAAACATCTGTTAAGCAGGTGTATCTAACCACCATAAAACTAATGTTCTATTCTACAACCACACTATACGGGCCTCAGTCTTATTAAAAGAAGGCCCCTCTACATCACTTGGGGAGAGAAAATGGGCCTTAAAGTTGGTGCAAACTACATCCATGCAAAGGCTCTTTACACTGTTAGACTGGTGTAAAATTACCTTAATGCAACTGAGAATTAGACCTCAAATATCTTTATTTAGTTGGTAGTATTTTAAAAATAAATTACCTGGTTAACAGTAATTTAAAAGTACTTGAACTTCATTGCCATCTTTATGCTAGACAAATAATTGAACTCAGAAATTGTTAGGAATGGACAGAGATATTGAAAACAACTACTATTAATTACTATAAGGCTACATTCACGTATAATACTGGCATCAGATGGATGACAGCAATGCAGGATTCCTCATGTTGACCTGATACTTCCCTGTTCAATTGGGAGGGAGAGTTGAACATCCCTACAAATGGCCCTTCTGTCCCTATATCCATGCCAATTGATGTTGATTCTTGTCCATTAGAAGTAGGCCAAGGCCAAATATGTTTCATGTATGAGATGTCAGACAGTACAACTTTCTGATCACTACTGATCTAAACTGCATTTTAACCAGTCCTGTACGGGTAAGGCTGCATATGTTATTTTCAGTCATCTAAGCTATCTATTTTACTGTGCATTTTTTTAATTCAGAAAAACTAGCACAAAAAAAAGTTCAGAGAAAGGCAAACTTACAGATTTCTTTGATTCACACAATTTAACAGCATGTTGATCAAATTTTCATAGTTTCTGAAAAAACAAAAGTAAAATGAGTATATAGATTTGACGTGTACTGTCAACAACTAGACATCATGGACAGAAGTGTTTAAAAGAATCTTTATATAAACAAAATAAGGCATTATATTTTCTCTTCATTCGCACAATGGATATAAATAGCACACACAATGTCTAGTAATTAAATTAACACTGCAAATACTGTGTATATGTCATGTTAATTTTTTGAGAGGAACGGATGGAGGGGAGAGAATCGCTGTTGAGTCAAGGGAGGAATATTACGGTGATTCCTCCACACTGTGTCTTTGTCTAGACTAGGATTTCAAGGTGTGATGTTGGATCATGCTAGTCAGCTAAGTCTAATTAAAACCCTCAAAAACTCGAGTCAAGACATGGCAAGCTATACTTAACATATGCTAAAAGGGTTGAGTTTAAGTTTTAACTTGCCTTGACTAGAAGTTTAGGTTTTAGAGTAAGCTAACTAACGTGATCCAACGTAGTACAGACGCTCCCTGACTTACGCAAGCGTTCCGTTCCGGAACACCTTGCCTAAGTTGAGTTTTGCATAAGTCAGGAACGTATACCCGACAATAAGGGGAAAAAAAAAAAAAGCTTACGGAACTTTTTCCGTAAGTGCGGATTTGCGTAAACTGGATTTGCGTAACCCGGGGAGCATCTGTACCTTTACATTTTTGTCCAGATAAGGCCTTAAAAGGCAGCTAGTTTGCCCAGCTGAGTGGCATTTTCTACACTGTGTTTTGGAGGTGTGAAAATCAGGGTACCATGTCCTTAGAATGCACCAGTTGGTCTCTATCTAATTAGATAAAGTTGAATATCATCAAAATATTCAAGTCTCAGTTTTTTACATTACTGATAAGCTCACAAGTTCTGATTCATCTTCACACAGACTAGTAGAAACCAGGAATAACTCCACTGGGGTCAACAGAATTTCCTGCCTAAACCTGGTATAAGAGAAAAGAATCAGGAGTACAGAGCCTCATTTTTTATGTATGTACTTTATAATCTGCCTGGATATACACTATGCTTTGCCATGCCAATAAAAGGTGCTCTATTTTAGATTCTTCAGTATTGTCTGGCTACTTTGCAAAGTGGCCAGATTCTGGCTGTAAATGGCCTATGGACAATTCCCCATGTGAAGGGGAACTTTCTGCTGGTGTGTAAATCCTTGATGATGAGGATCCTTTGCCAGACCCCAGCCCTGGCTTAAAGCCATGCCGGGGGAGGTACAGGACATAATGGGAGTGGGCCAGCGCCAGATGCTGGACCAATGCACAATCAAGAGTTGTAATCAGCTTCCTACTAGCCACTTTTCCCTTGCACCAGGGAGAAATGAGCTCTACAACTGTTTTCTTCTTTTATGTCCCTTCATTTAACAACTCCCTTTTTTACTTAATACTTTTCTAGTACTTTTTAGTGAAAAATTTATGCCACCTATCTCACTCATTCAGAGTCCTCTGTGCCCAACCAGATTTGTTCCAGCCTTCCCCTCTCCAACCCAGCTAATCTTTCCATACTAAGAAATCAAGTCTTTCTCCTTATCCTCTCAAATCGGGGAAAAATCTTGTCTTATCTGTGAATTTCTATTCTAGGGCTCTCCTTGGCAGAAAAAAATTGGATATAATACAATCCCCTCCAAGGAAGGGTCAGACTGTAGAACATGGAATGTCCTAGAATGAAAATTCACAGGTAAGGCCGACTTTTCCCTCTCTCAGTTCCCTCCATGTCAGATAATCTTCCCAGTGGGATGTAGAAAACAGTAAGTCATCCCTAGGGGGAAGGGTTCAATTTACCCATGTAGGATTGAAAAGGAACATAAGAGTTACTGGGGAACCCTGTTCTGTAACACCCTTCCACCAAATGCTGCCTCAGCAAGGATGAGTATGTTGACTACAGTGTTTGAAAAAATGTGGATGGAAGGTCCTGTAGTAGCTTTATAGACCTTCTCGTAAGATGTGTGTGATCTTTCAAAAAAAATCATTGCTTTTTCCACAGAGTGAGTAGTACATGGTAATGAGGAGTTGTACCTCAGGCTCCAAATGCCTCCACTATATAAACCTTTATTCTTATGTAGGCTTTGTTCACCTCTAACTTATGAATTTTACTTCCTTAGGATGTTTGGCTTCATCCAGGATAACAATACCACTTCCTATTAAATAAGGAAGATTGCGGTTACATTGGGGACGGAGGTGTGGTTAGTTCACAGAACTACCATGTTTGATATAGCATATAACTGAGACTTCATTGAGAGCACACCAAGCTCCAAAACCTCCTTCGTACCAGGAGGGGGCGAGTAGGCAAAATACTTTCAGGGAGAGGAAGAAGAGACCTGCCAACTGTGAAGATGAAAGGCAGTTTTATTAGGATTTGTAGCATGCAGCTCAAGATCATGAAAGGAATCTGTGTTTTGACTGAGGACTGGTAAGAATGGTGGTCCTCAGCCATCTGTTATGTGCTGGTGAGGAGAGATTCTCATGGGTTTCTTTACAGTGCAATATGCCTGAAGTCACTGACTTGTCCACGTGTCCACTGGTCAGGCTATCTTGTAAAAACACCAGAATATCCTTAGCTTTAGCAGACTTTCCCCTGATGCGTGCCTCTTGTAACATCAATATCTAAACCTCAAGTGATATACAGACATAATCTGTGAATCTCCTCCAAGATGCTAGGAGGATGTTTATCACTTTCTCAGAAAGAATGACTGATTCCTTTCCAGGTGGTGGGTTAGGCAGCACTGGATTTTGATTCAGTATCAGCCCCCCATTGCGTGTGTGTGAAGTTTGAGAGGAGGTTCCCATTATGTTTAAATTGGGTCTGAAAACCAAGGCCTGAGAGTTAATGAGAAGGCAGTTACAATTACTGTGGTCTTGCTCCTTCACAATCTGCTTTACCATCTTTACTATCGGGGCAGAGGGGAGAGCATAAAGGAGGCCATTTAGCCCACTTCTGAGATAAGGGGACCACAACCTTCACTTTGGTGTCTCTCTTTCTCACATAGCACCTCTTGATATTCCAACTGGACTGGGATGCAAATTGTGCTATCAATAGACTTCCAAACTGGACTGCAATGCACTGAAAGGCTAACTGATCTAGATGGCATTCCCTTGGATCTTCATGTGTCTTGGTGAGCTGGCCAACACTGACTTTCCTTCTTGGTACAGAACTTTGAGGAACAGTGTAGGGGCTTATGTCCAGGACATGAACAAGGCTACTCCTTTAAATAGTGCTGAACATTTAACTTCTTAGCAGCTGTACACAAATACCATGTTTCTGAAGAATCATCTGCTGGAAATGGAAGAGTGAGCTTGATGGTCCATAGTATGAGACAGTGCCGGTTTATTTTAATTTACTTTGGGAAAATGATAAATATTATCTCAAGCATCCTTTTTCTGAGTCGTTCACTCCCAGATGAGGGCCCACCCTGAAATGCCCCTTAGAGGAAATCTGGGTGAGGGATGTTGCAAGGGGGAATCTTCCCAGACTCAGGAAACCCAAAAATCAAGAGCAGCTTTTGGAGTTGGATTGTTTTCCAACAAATCGTGGCCTTATATAGCAAAAGCCCCCTCCTAATGTGCAGGAACCTGCAAGAGCAGCAGCTTCAAAGGGAACACTTGCTGAGATGAGGTAGATTGAAGATTCTCTCACTGGAACAAGGGAGGGACCAATTCCCTTGTCTAAAGCCTCAGTTACCTCTTTGTCTCTATGCTCTCCAAAGAGCTTACCAACAAAACATTTAGAAGGATAATAGCGTTAGCCTGCAATTCCAATCTCTTTGAGTGGAGCCATAGCTGTCTCCCCAACACACATTTGGAAGTTCTGAATGTGCAGCAAACAACAGTCAGGGGAAGCATCAGTTCCATAAAAGCTGCTACAGAAATCTAGTTTAAGGTATATTTTATGTATGGGTTTTTTTGTTTTGTTTTGTTTTGTTTTGTTTTTTGGGGGTTATCTACTCTCCCAATGGCCTCCCAAATGAACACAGAACTGCACAATCAGACTGCAGCTAATAGTCCCAGTGTTGACCTTGCTATATCTAAGTTTAGTCTGAGTAATAACCTTATTCTCATCTGTGGGTTTGCAATGCTCCCTCAGCTGGTATGATGATACCCTTTACTTAGGAGGTTGCAGCAGGCTTCACCTTAGGCAGATTAAGTTCTTTTACTTTTTAGTTACAAATCTTGATAGGGAATTTCCATTCCACCTTAATCACACCTTCATAAACAAGGCAAGAACAATTACACAGACCAATTACAATTGCTATTCAATTTTTACACTAGGATATTCTGCGCCAAAAAATTAAAAATTCTGTGCACAATACTTAAAACTTGCAGAATTTTAATTTGTCAAATAAATGTGGAGGCTCCAGCATGGTATTGGGGAGTACAGGCCACTGGTTGCACAGAGGTAGGAGATCATTCTGCAGCTCCCCCCCCCCCCCCAAGAACATGGCTCAGCAGTGAGGCTGTACCCAACCCTGACACAGCGCAAGGACCGAGCCTGCCCCAGAAACACCCCAGGGCCCTGCCCCTCTGTGCCAACTGCACCAGGGGTGGGCAGGCAGGCTCAGCAAGGCAGGATCCAAGTGTAGAGGGGCTTAGTGTGGGGGGATCCAGGTGTGGGTTGAGAGGATTCTGTGTGGGGCAATCTGGGTACGGGAGGTGAACTGGATGCACAGGGGCTTGTTAGGGGGTTCTGGGTGCAACGGTAATGGGACTCTGCAGGGGGGTCCAGGTGAAGGTGGCTGGGGCTCAGCAGTGCAGGGTCTGGGTGTGTGGGGGGGATAGATCTCGGCAGGGGAGTCTGGGTGTGGGGGGATTCAGTGGGGAGATCCAGATGCTGGGGGGGTGGGGCTCACTGGGGTGGGGATCCAGGTGCAGCTGGTTGCGCTTGGTGGAGTGGGGATCCAGGTGCGGGTAGCTTGTTGGGGTCATCCAGGTGCAGGGGAAGTGGGGCTCTGCAGGGGGGATCTGGGTATGAGGGGATCTGGATGCACAGAGATTGGCCAGATGGGGGAGAAGCTCCCCATACAGTGATCCCTCCCCCTGCAGCTGAGGAGAGATGGGTGGGGAGTTTGCAGAGCTTCTTGCTGCCTGGGGAGAAATCGGAGGGTGGGTCTGACCTGGCCCCAGATGCCGTGCAGGGGAAGAGGAAGTCCTGTTCTCCCCAACCCAACCAGGACTAGCAGATGAGCCCGGTGCAGGGTAGGAGCCAGCAGTCAGGTCTTCCCCAGTCCCGCCCCCTGTGCCACAGTGATTTACCTCTCCGCTGGCAGCCCTGGGCACCCAAAACATGACTGCTCTTGTGCTTTCCCTTTGCTTCCCCATCAGAAAGTCATTTTTCTGCAGGGAAGCAAAGAAATCTGCAGGGGACATAAATTCTTCGCATGCACAGTGGCGCAGAATTCCCCCAGGAGTAAACTTTGCGGGGTTTGAGGGTTTTTTGGATTTTTCATTTTCTAAAAACATAAGCACCTGTTAAGTTAGATATCCGTTCATGCTAAACTCTGGGAAGCTTAGCTGGACAGCTGGAGAGTGGCGGCTGCTGGCCAGGAGCCCATCTCTGATGGAAGGGCCGCCGCCAGCAGCAGTACAGAAGTAAGGGTGGCATGGTATGGCATTGCCACCCTTACTTCTGCGCTGCTGCTGGCAGGGCACTGCCTTCAGAGCTGGGTGCCTGGCCAGCAGCCACCGCTCTCCAGCCGCCCAGCTCTGAAGGCAGTGCAGAAGAAAGGTGAGCATAGGGTGAGACCAGATTTCACGGTCCGTGAAGCGTTTTTCACGGCTGTGAATTTGGTGATACTCATTGGTATCAAATGTTCAAGGAGCTGCCCACTTTCATGGCAGCTGAGCCCTTGCAGGTAAAACAGCTTGTGGGAAGAGGGATGCTTTGCAGCCTTCTCAACCATCTCTACATGAACCTTACTTACACGCTGGCTGGGAACAGGAATTTCTTCCTTGGGATTACTAAGGGTGTCTCTTACCCGAAGATTCAAGAGGCTCCAGTGAACCTTTCGTGCTTGCTCTGAAAGCTGTGGGAAATGCAACCCTCATTCCTAGGAGAGAGCTGAGGGGAGAGAGGAGCAAGGGGGAGAGGAGTTTGAAAAAAAAAATTATCCCCAGTTCCATGCCACTGATTCTGGCCTCATCTCAGTGAAGGGAGCTTCCATGTGGCCTACTCAACTGTCTCACTGTGGACCGTGCCAACATGCTAGCTGGGAGCTGGGTTCCTGAGGCGTTCTGTCTCCCATTTCTGAGGGGGAAAGGGAGGACAGGTGTTGTCCTTCAAACCCTCCTCAGAAAGCCAACAACAACAACAAAATGTTGGGACTAGATTTTGAGGTTTTTATCCTCAAAACTGGTAAACCAATGAAGAAACAGAGCATTTAGTTAATTTTTTTTACAAATCCTGTGACATCTCTGCTACAAAGGGAGTCCTGGAGCCTGCAGTGTGTGCTTCTTGGAGGTATCTTCCTGAGGGGAGAACCTTAGCCCAGGTCCTGAGCAAAGATCTGGTCTGCTCCCAGTTGCCGTGGAGACAGGGAACACTCCGTCATTAAGGTTGTCTGACATGGAGGGACTGGGAAATTGTTTCTATTATTCCAACCCCTCCATACCACACTGCCCCCAAGCCTCCACTCTATATGAATTTCCAAACCAGATGTCAACATCATTGCTTTAAGTCTGATCCATTCCTTCTCTTCTGTCTATTGCAGCAATTATTTCCGGGGGAATTCTAAGCCACTGCGCATGCACATAATTCATGTGGCGCGCATAATTTTTTCCCCCCACAGAAAATAACTTCTGCCCGAAAGTTGCTGCAGTTATGCCTTTTGCCCACCAGGGGCTGCTGTGGTGCTAGAACAGAGCAGCCGCTCCCAGATAAGGAAGAGAAGAGGCTGCCTTCCTGGCAGTGCCCTGCCGGTGGCGCCAGCTCAGGAGAAAGGAGATATGGAGGGACAGACAAAATGGGGCACAAGGGGCAGCTGGGGGGGGTCACAGACTGGGGTTCATAACTGCTAATGGGGAAGGGCAGACTGGGAGTGGAGGCACAGAGCCACAGTGGGACAGGGGAGGGGCTGCAGGGCCACATGTGGGAAGGAGAGAGAGAGAGGACTGGCTGAAAGGGTGCAGGGCCACATGGGGGAAAGGGGTGGCTGAGTAGGGGCACAGGGACACATGGGGATGGGACTGGCTGAGGGGGTGCAGGGACACATGGAGACAGGGTGGAGAGACACATGGGGTGGCTGAATGGAGGTGCAGGGCCACATGGGAATGGGGGGAGTGGGTGTCTGAGTGGGGTTGGAGGGACACATGGGACGGGGGAAGAGGGTACAAGGACACATAAGGGTGCAGGATCACATGGGGACAGGGGCAGATGTGCCTGACTGAATGGGAGAGGCTAGGGGTCAGCCAGGGTCTGCATGAGGGAGGCTCCCTAACAATCCCTCCGCAGCCCACTCAAGAAACCTGTTCCATACTTCTCACACCCACACCCAACAACCCTCCAGGTTCACTCCCAGGCTCCTTCCCTCTCCCTCAACTCCTCCTTTACCCCTGACTCCCCCAAGCCTTCACACTGCTTCTGAGAGGGGCAGGAAATACGGTTCTGTATTGTAGTTTAAATGAATTATTCAAAGTTCTGCATTAATATGCCTAGTAAGGAATCTATTTGTCAAAAAACATTTCCTGAATCTTTTTTGTTGTCTGTATTGTTATAGACATACTTGCTGACAACTTTTTTGAAATAAATTACCAAAGTAATTGAAACTGGTGTGATTATATTGTGTTATTTTGATATGCAGAATTTTAAAATATTATGCGCAGAATTTTGTATTTTTTGGCACAGAATTCCCCCAGAAGTAAGCAATATTCCCTAATTACTGTGTTGTCTCATACTCAGGCACACTGCTGCCTTTTCTGTTTCAGCTTCGCTGTTGCTGTTATTGGTGAGCACCCTCTTGAAGACCTCACGGAAGGGGTACACCAACACAAACACAGTTAAAGTGACTGAAAACAAAGCAGTCAAATGCACAAAGTAAAGCAATTGAAAAAAATGTTTTCATTGGTCTGAAGTATTGTTATCTTAATAAGTACTTGTAACTATAACTGATACAAAATATTGAGATGAAGTGCCATTTTGTGAACACACTACTGGAAAGTGCTGAGGCACTATGGTGATGAGAATATGGAATATTCCATTCTATATAGGTTCTCATACAAGCCAATGATGTCCCTTCCAATACAGTTAAGGATTATTGAAAGACAGCTGCAATAATGGAAGGAAAGATGGTTGGAGTTCAGTGTCACTTTTAGGCTAACGTATTAAAAAAAAAAAGATTATGAAGAAGAGATTACTTTTAAACAGCTTCATTTTTGCTAGAGAAAACGTTACACACAGATGTCACAAATAATTATTTCTTATTAGCCTCAAAACTCAGAAGCAAAATAGCACATCCTCTTAGAATATTACATTTAATGTACAATTTTAGATTAAATTTACATCATCGCTCATGAACTGTATATGTTTATCGACTAAAAGCTATTATGCACGACAACTTCTGTAGTTACTGAAGTCTACATAGACCAATCTAACTTACTGCAAGGCCTCAGCATTCTTTTCTTTCTGTCGTTGAATTCCTAACTGAATCTCTTCTGAACTAAGCATCATCCCGCTGGCGCTTGGGTTTTCTGCTTTTTGCATTAGAATGGCTATCTCAACACATTTCTCTGGAACCTGTTGAGAGAGAAGGGAAATATCTCTAACTGAATAGCAGCCAAAGAATGTTAGCCATCCTTCTGGAAAAGGAGACTCCCAGAGAGGCAGTCAAATGAAGTGCACATACCGTCCCTTCCACATAGATATGAATAAGCCTCCCTCTATATTTTACAAAATTCCCTAGAGAGGCAATCCAGGTTGCTCCTTTGTTATTTGACAGGAATCACTGCTCCCAGTAGTCTTGTTATGATAAGACGGAGGAAAATTAAGTAGTTTTAAAATACTGATAGAGCTATGATTACATGTCTATATTTTAAGGCATGGAGTAAACCATGCACAAACTCTGATTTTATGGTTAAACAAAAATGCTAAAATATTTATGGTAATGGTTTCCGTCCCCATGTTTCACTTAGTAAGTAAATTTAGTATAGTGTAAGTTGTTAGACTAACAACAGAACAGATACAACACAAGTACTGACAGTGCAAGCTTCCCCACACTGTCCTGCAAGTGCACAGCAACCTTGATTAGGCGGGACCACACCTGACAAGAGCTAAAAGATCAGTTATTTTTCATTCCCATTGCATAACTGGCCTCTAAAATTTGGGGGGGGCGAGCAGTGTCAAATTCTAATAATCTTAAAATGAAATCTATAATATTCCAGTCTTAGATATATTTGTCTATATTCCTTCATACTGGAAATCAGAATGAAATCAATATATCAATATTAGTAGTCAAAGCTAACCCAAAACATGTAAAATTTATTAAACAACTGACTTATTTTATCAAATATAAGTCAAACAGCCTCCGAATGTGATATTAGCTTTTAAGTGATTTTTTTGCTTACTGAAAAGTCCAATCCAATTGTTTCATACTGTCTGTGGATCTTTTCTGCTAGGTCATCAAAGAGTCTCACTATAGATGGCTTTTCCAGAGACATAGCTTTGCTAAGTCCAGAGGAAACAATTGATGGCCAAGTCTGTACAATACAGTCCCAATCATGAAGATTTGCCAGGCATACTCCACTGTGGTTTCCAAGAAGACAATACAAGGCACCCTATAGTAAACAAGAGTTGTAATACTAAAAGTTACATAAAGCAGTCATTCATATAGAATAAAAATTAGTTGCTCTATATTTTACCAATTATTAAATTGTAACACGAACTGAGATTAAACCATCCAGTTTATCACTAATATATACAAGATATTCCACGCAATTCTTGACATATTAAATATTTGTTTTAGTAGTGTGTGCAAGTAGTGCAGACTAAATGGATTTCTCTTTCATAGAATGGTTGTGAGGGAACTATTTCCACAGAACACATTTCAATAACCACAATGAATAAAACACCTGGCCTTTCTACAAACTTATTTATGGTAGTTTAAATTACAAACTTGTGTTTCTTAGGCTTGTCTACACTGCCCTGCAATTCGAACTATGGGTGGTGTGAACAGACGTGTGCATCGAAGTGTTGCGCTGTAACTCCATTGTGTTGACATTGCAGGCACACAAAAAAAGGTTCCTAGTTCGCATTAATGGAATCCTCTTCATACAGGATTACACTAATGGTGCGCACTGCTATTCACACCTCTATAGGCTGAATTGTGGGGCAGTGCAGACATAGTCTTAGCATAACATTTTCTGTTGAACAGCTCTTTGTTCTTCCTTCCTTGCTCGACTAGGGTTGCTAAAAAACTACTGAACTAAGAACAGTCTGCTGAGATTTTATTGCTTTGTACTATTTTTTTCTTTTAATTGGGAAATAAAAGTGAACAGCTATTAGCATAAAGCATTCATAATTCCTTAGGTCCTGATGAAATCGAGTATATTCATGAAGGTGGGGTATGGTATAAAAATATTTTTATGGGCACTTTTTTGGGATGACTGCCTAAGTCACTTTAGGGTTAGCTATTCACGAGTAATTCAACCATCCCAAAGTCATGCTAATAAAATATTTACACCATACCACATGTATTTTAACCATAAAATTTTTACACACAAACTGGAGACAGATCTGAAATTAAGTAACTGAGATAGTACTTTAAACTGCTGCTGAGTAACATCGTGTCGGTCTGGCCGCAAAAACTCCAAAACCAAAGGAATGATATCTCTGCAACAAAAGTTGTATGTTCCCAGTGCTGTGAAGAATGCTTGCTGAGCTTTATTTCTGACCTGTAGAAAGACAAGCATTACCTCAGATCTTCAAGTACACAAAAGGATATACAAAGCAGTGATATCCCAATTCTCTTCAATTACTAATGTGCAGGTCTTAGGAAGGTGAGTCAGTGCACAGAAATTTAGCCTGTTTTATTTTAAAAGATTAGCAGCAGTGGGCATGGAGGCTCAACTATCCTCGCGATTTCTCCAAATTAGGTTTTAGGCACACTGGGAGTATGGTGTGGAGTAGCTTGTCTTGCCATGGCCCATAATGCATCTGTTCTGTGAACTGAAGACTTTAGTTTCCACAACTGTCAACCTGGCACATTTTTGAAACACTTAATACAAATGAGTTTAAAGTTTAATAAATAACTCAAAAGAGTCTATGGGCCCAATTCTGGTTTTGGATGAGTGTGTGCGGCTGCTATTGACTTTAGCAAGTCTTGAATTCATTGGACAAAACTCACTTTTGCAAATTTCAAAAGTCAGTCAAATTTTGGGCCTAACCAGGACTGGAATTTCCTAACCTGGAAAGAATTAGGTGAGTAATTAAATGTTTCATACATTACTGAAGCCTGAAATAAGAAACAAAGATCCTGTGACACTGAATTTTACCAAGGAATTAAAAGCTCTATTATGTTACATTTCACTGCAAATATCGAGTTGAAAATAAGCTCAATAAACGTAGCGCATGACTGCATTAATTTAGCATAGAAGACATATTCTTACCTGACCATAGGAACTTGTAGACAAACACAGAAGATCCCTAATCATGTCTTGGTGTATATTTTTATATTCACAGCCTTCAACAGTTAGAGTTCTCAGCTAAAGGAAGTAGAAAAATCCCAATTAGAGACAGGCTTTATTGATAATTTTATAAAGCTAAGAGAGGAAAGTTATTGTAGAGATTGAGAATGCTTTTAGTTAAATAAGATGTTACAGATTGACATTTCCTAGTATAGTAGTGAGTAAAAATTGGCAGTACAGAAATGTACATCACCTCATGCTGCAACATGACTCTGTCAATGAGCAAGGCTCGAATATGCTGCTTCTTTCCTCGAAGCTGCAAGGAAAAAAATCAGAGTAATTTGGTTCAAATCTCAACACTGACTTTAGCAATGTAAATATGAACTCTCGCCTCTTACATTTTCGATACTCAATATATATATTATAAGCCGATTCTACAGCGAGACATTCTGACTGTTGGGCTTCAGTTATACAAAGGATTTTTAAAAAAAACTTCTGGCACAGTGACAACTGGTGTGAGTGGATATTGATCCACGTCATGTGATGGAGTGAAACTATAACCCTGGCCCATGTCATATATCTGGAGATAAGAAACAATGACCAGTCTCATACAGCACTCTTGTATGTCACTTGTTTATTACACAGTGTTAATCATGGCATGAATTTGCTTAGATATTTGTACAACTGCCCTCAACTTTCTTAAGAAAATAGAAATTGCCATATTGAATCAGACCAGTGACCCATCTAGTCTAGTGTTTGGTCTCTGACAATGGCCAGCAAGGTATGCTTCAGAAGGTAGAAGAGAGACTGTATCTATCTACCACAATTACCAGTTCATAATGAAAGATTTTTCCCTAACCCCTCAGCAATTTGAAGCTGGCTTATGCCTCAATACATAAAAGTTTATATCTCATGCCCAGTTGAACTTAGCATGTGCCCTTCATAACTAACTTTAGTCAAAGAAATCTGGCATTTGTTTATGATCAATTTAAGATGATCTTCTTTGGTATGCTACAGAACATTGCTTGCTCTCATTGTGGTGTTGATTATTTTTGCCCAATATCAACTGATAATCAAGTTCTGCCACATCATCCACATCTTCAAAGATATGGGACATGAGGCGTGGTATACCTCAGGTGATGAGGCAATCCCAAAGGAAAGTCAGTTAAACATATCTACTAAAAATAGGACTTAAAAGGTGAACAGTTTTGCACTTCCTATCAAGTCAGACCTGCCAAAACCCTTGGCTTGCATGCAAAACTGATAATACTCTTGCATTTTGAAGTCTCAACATCACCTCTTCAACCATTCTCATGGGCTGGTGCTTGCATTTGGTGACAAAGTTTTTTGGGCATGTCGGATAAAAATCAATGGTGTTCTATCTGCAAGGTATCCCAGTACATTAAACATCTTGTTCAGTAAATGATTTTGTTCAGTATACAACTTATATACCCATTTGATAATAACATTTACAGACTGTTCTTCAACACAAGTCCACATAGAATTTCCTGTTGCACTATTTCAAACTCTATGGGGGAGATCTGTTCTTAGGGCTGGTCTACACTGCGGGGGGGAGGAGGGGGAGAATCGATCTAAGATACGCAACTTCAGCTACGCGAATAGCGTAGCTGAAGTCTAAGTATCTTAGATCGAATTACCTGGGGTCCACACGGCGCGGGATCGACGGCCGTGGCTCCCCCGTCGACCATGCTATCGCCGCTCGCTCTGGTGGAGTTCCGGAGTCGACGGTGAGCGCGTTCGGGGATCGATATATCGCGTCTTAACGAGACGTGATATATCGATCCCGGATAAATCGATTGCTACCCGCCAATACGGCGGGTAGTGAAGACATACCCTTACACAGATACACCAGTTTTGTTTTGCCATTGGGGGTCAGATTGTGCTCACTATATTAAACAGTTTTTAATTTTAACATTAAGCAGTTACCAAACTTTTGGTATTTGTAGCAGTGTTTATGATGCACTCAGTGTCAGAATCTATTTTGACATTCATGGTTTGTTTATTTATTGCCAGTACCACAAACCAATCTGTTGAGAACCTTGCTTTATGACTTTACTAAGAAACCCAACAAAGAAATTTGGACTTGATACACTTTTATACTAGGGCTCCTTTACAAGACTTTGACATAGTAAGAAGGCCTTGCAGTAGGACTAAGATACATGTATTCTCACGTTAATGCCCCTTTACATTGCCAGAGTGATATAAAGAGACATTAGTGCCAAGGAGAATCAGGCCCTTTGTTTCTGCATCAGAGCTATGTTTATGAATGAAATTTGCTTTTATAATTCCTTACAACTTATTCTGATAATGACCTCTTCTGGAAAACAGTTGCTTTTACTGCATATATGACATAGAGCCCCATGTAAAGGGCACTTTTGCATAGTGTTGTGACTGTCTCCTCATTTAAGCGCAAAAATCTGGTTTCTGTCATTTGCTAGAGCAAGGATGTGAAAGTTTCAGAAAATCTCTAGTGAAAATATGGCTTTAGTATCTTAGATGGAACTTCTGATCAATCTAATATCAAGAGGTTAATAGTGTTGCTGCCATTTTGTTACAAACAAAACCCATGTGGAAGATGGGAGACTGCCTATATACAGTAATTTACTGCATCCTTATCTTCCAGTCCAATAGGCAGGATTATGAAGCATTTTTATTTCATTATGCCCTTTAAGAGGCTAAGAAAGTACTCTATTGTTTAGCAAACTTCTTCCCTTTTGTATCTAATGGAGTTTGAAACTAACATGACTCTTTGTTTACATCCCTGTTTGTGTATCAGAATAGGAGATGTCGGCGTAATTTTAAAAATGGAATATTGCACAAATTCCTCTGGGGAACCAGAAGAGATTTTGGGGTGTCCATCTGTACAGCTTATGAATTCTGGGTGATATTATGAAGTTATCCCTATGAAAATGGATTTCTTTTTATTCATCAGCAGGTGAACAGCCGAAAAATGGACATGATTCTGATCCAGACCTTATATTCTGAGTGGTCCCTGGCCAGCCAGTCATCTAAGTCAGCTTTCTCAAATGCGGCCACCATGGCCACATGCGGTCACAACCTCCTGGGCAGTGATGGGGGGGGGGGAGGCAGGGGGAGGAGAAGAGTGGCAAAGTAGTGGCCCCTCCCTGTTGCTCCTGGATGCACCACCTTGGTGTTGGTTGCTGGGGTTGCCAGCAGGGGTTGGACCCTGCCCCCCTCCAGAGAAACCTGGGACACAACGCTGGTGGAGGAGGCAGGCAGTGAGTTCCCCACCTTCCCTGGGGCAGTGGGACTCAGGCTTTGTGCTTCAGCCCTGCGGAGGTGGGGGCAGCAGGGCTGAAGGGCTCTGGGTGCGTGGCAGCAGGCCCCAGGCTCCAGCCACACAGCTTCAGGCTCCATCCCCAGGCACCATCACCCGTCTGTGGGGCTTTGGGATCTGGACACAGGGCTTCAAGCTCCAGCCCCCAAGTATTTTAGGAAAAAATATGAGAGTCACCAAATATGAGAGCCACTCTGAGGCCACCAAAAAATTTGCCCTGAGAACCCCTGATCTAAGTATGGAAACTCCTGGATACTCATCCTTTTCAGATAGGCCACCATCACACGGGACACCACAGAGAACCCATAGGACAAAACCCAGAATTGGTAATGATTGTTGTTCAACACAAACCTCAGGAAGCACTTGTGCGCCGGGTGTATTGCACTGTGAAACTACGTACCCTTGAGGTCAAGGGCAACATACCAGTCTTGCTGATCTAGGGAGGGGATAACTGACCCCAAGGGAGACCATCTTGTGTTTCTTGTCATAGGTGTTCAGTGGTCTGAGGTCTAACACTGGATGAAACCCCATCTTTTAGGGACTAAGTAAGTACCCTGTATAGAACTCCTTTCCCTTCTGCTGAGGGGAAACCTCCCGCATAGCATCCAAAACAAGGGACTGCATCTCTTGTCAAAGCAAACATTCGTGGGACAGGTCCCTGAAGAGGGATGAGGAAGAAGGTTGGTTGTGGAGACGGAAGAACTGAATTGTGTAGCCTCTCTGGACCACCTCTGGGGCAGCATTCAGAAAAAGAAAGACAGCAAAGGAAGCTTTTCTATCTAAGCAGGAAGGAGCTCTCCTGAGATACATAGACACAAATGTTCACGGTGAGCCTTCCAGCCCCAGTGAGAATGTGAGTGGTGAGGAGATGCCTGATCTTCCAGTTAGTCAAAGTGCAGGTGACCTGGCAGCTACTGCAGCATCCATATCTCCATCTCAAATGGATGTAACCATGCACATTCCTGAAGAAAAGTGTAGATCAGAGAAGAGTGTGGTGGAGGCGCAAAAAACAGCTGCTGCTGAGTTTAGTTCCTTAAGTCTAGATGATCCAGAATGGTGGAACCACTTTAGCAGTAGCCTGAGGGACTTCCTTGTACTGCATGGGCCACAGCAAATGAAAAACTTCATGTTCCCCAAAGACAATGAAAATAGAAGTTTCCATCCAACACATTACTGGCATGAAATCCCCAATGGTGACGAAGTGGAGAGGCCATGGCTTATGTACTCAAAAACCCAAAATGCTGCATACTGTTTTTGTTACAAGCTCTTCTAGTCTAATGTTCCAGCCACATTGGGTTCTACAGGAACAAAGGACTGGAAAAATACGGCTAGAAATCTGGCATGCCATGAGAAGGCAGCAAATCACCAGAAAGCATTCCATAGGTGGAAAGAGCTTGAGATGAGACTAAGGTTAAAGGCCACCATAGATGATCAGCATCAAGAAAAGATTGCATCAGAATCTCTTTACTGGCAAAATGTTCTGAAAAGGCTCACTGCCATTGTGAGAATGCTTGCTATCCAAAACCTAGCACTGCATGGCACTTCAGATCAACTGTATGTGCCAAACAATGGAAACTTCCTTAAAATTGTGGAGCTGATGACTGAGTTTGATGCTGTACTCCAGGAACATCTAAGAAGAGTCACCACCCAAGAAATGTACACACACCACTACCTTGGAAAAACAATTCAAAATGAGATCACACAGTTACTGGCAACAAAAGTCAAACAGACGATTGTGGCAACATCAACATGTAATATGAAGTCAGCAACATATTACTCTGTTATTCTGGACTGCACACCTGACACCAGCCATACGGAACAAATGACTTTAATGGTGCATTTTGTAACAACAACAACAGAACCTAGTGAAAATGTCCCTGCAATGGTGACTGTCAGAGAGCATTTTCTAGAATTTATTGACACTGATGATACTACAGGAGCTGGTATGACAAATGTGCTTCTTAAAAAGCTGGAAGATACGGGAATTGCAATAGCTG